GAGAGAGAGGGGGGGGAGGGAGACAGAAACAGAGACAGGGACAGAGCCAGAGAGAAGAAAGAAAGAGAGAGGTAGAGTGAAAGAAAGGGAGATAGACAGTGATACATCCTACCAGGGACGAGAGAGAGAGACAGCAGAATAAAAGAATGTGCCTGGTGGGGACACAAAGTCCAATGTAAAAGATGTAACAGTTGGCCTACTTGTTTTGTTTTTTCTGAGACGGTGGGAGAAAGTGAGAGTGAAAAACTATCATCGGTATGTGCCAACAGTTTATCTTTCGTTTTTTATGCACCTACCGAGGCAAGCTATTGTTCTACAAAAAGGTCATGTTTATTACCAGACGACAATCTGAAAAAAATAAACAAACGAGTTTGCTGACACTTGCAGTCCTAAGCAGACATAGCATGATATACTGATCACCTTAACCATTTCCTCTCCTCTTCCCCCTTTCTTCCCCCGGAGAAATAAAAAGGAGAAATAAAAAGATCCGGTAGGCGGTGAGTAGAATAAGACACACAATATAACAGTGATTGCAGCAGGAATCTGAGCTGCCGAATCAGTTTAAAGAAAAAAATGGGAAAATATAGAGATTTCTTTGAAACCTGAGTTACATTTTATAGTACTTTTCCCCTTTTTCTATTTATTAAACTTTAATATATTGTGGACCAAATTTTTTTCGGTGAACTGTTTATTCTACTTTTCTCCTGTAGCATCAGTGAGTAGGGGCAACCTTCTCTTTCTTGCAATGGGATGGAAGGGAATTCCATAAAATTATTCAGAAAAATCCTAAACCTAAACTGCTCAAGATTCTGTAGGTAAAATTTGTAAGAAATAACCCTGGCACAAGGACAAAAAATAGAGACTCAAACACATATCAAACATTTCATGAAATATTGGGGACAATTGTCTTACAGAAGAATTTGACAGTATCAGTAAAACAATCAGTTAGTTTGTTTAGTAGTATAGGGTTTTACGGCGCTCGCAACTGCTAAGGTCATATGAGCGCGCAAAACAATCATCAGAAAGAAGTAGAAGAAACTCACCGAAAGAGAATCATCCATATTATAATTGGCCAAATTCAATCCTGACTTTGTCTTCCAGATCTCATCTTTCAAAGCCTGGTTTAAAGCTGGATTGATAAAGAAACACTCTGAGGATGACAAAACGGAATAGTGGAGAAATTACAAAATACACAGAATCTAACACCATGTGTACATCCTGTAACAAGAACTTCGGGAGGCCATTTTATGATTAGAATCTGTGAATCACTGCACTTAAACTTATATCATCATTCTTATCGTTCACATACTTTTTTTTAATGTCTCCTCATTCAAGATGAGCTACATAAAGAAACATAGTATGGACAGAGCACACCACACATTTAAACATTTTAATATAACATGATGATCTGTATGAACTTCGTTAGACAAAGTCAATCTACATGACATATTTATTGTAAATTACTTTTGCTGTTTTTTCTTGAGGGCAAAATTTATTTTGGTACATTTCATTGTCTTTATTATATAGGCCCCTTGAAATATCAACGTCTTCTGAACCATTTCACAAAACAATAATTATCTGTATTAACAACTTGTGACAAGGCAAGCAGAATTTTTTCTTCTTTTACAAAAGTGACTTTTTAAAGAAAAACACTAGATCTAGCCAGTATAGAAACTTGTTCAACATTGTTTCATTTGGGTGTTTCTGAAAAAAAATATAAAAATGAATGCTTACAAATTTTTAATATATCTCAATAAAAAAAGCTGGACACCCACCAAACAAAAAAAAAAAATACTATATGATTACAAAAGGAAACAAACATGCTTCCATTCCGGCCCATATATTTGTTATACCCTCAGCTGCACAATTGCGGTAAGAAGCCACAATTGCATACAACAACAAATCTATTCAAGTATGAGATCAAAAGAAAGTCACTGCAGCAAATTTCATAACCACCACTATAGTCACAACAAATTGCACCACTTTTTCTTCATCCCTCAGACCACTATGATTCATTAGACACACTTCTATAATTTAAAGCTTTAAGGCTACTCAACCAAGCTCCACAAGACACTCATTGCCTTCCATAGTGAATGTATCCGTGCCTTGAACAATCAAGCATGAAGAATTACATTCATGCAACAGGCTACGAAATGGCTACACGCACTGCCTTTACCGTGCACATCAAGTGGAACATAAAGGGGTTCACGCCTGTGTGAAGCTTATTTAGCCTGCAGCATTTATGTTTATAAACTTCAAAAGAGCCCTCAACCAAGATGATTGCACACACCGGAAAAGCCAGGATATTAGACACTAGAAAGGGCATCTCCCATAACATAAAGGTATTTTCCCATTCTCATGATTCTGATCAAACGTGAGCCAAACTTGATTTCTATGTGGTCCTCAAAGTTTTTATCCTTGATTGCACATCGTTAACTGAGGCATGCTGAACTTTAAAAACACGTACACAAAGCTTTCAAAGGCAGTTCAACGTTATGATCCATCTTCTATGCAGTGCAGTGCAGAAATATTTTATGAAAGATGCATCCCTTTGTAAACAGTAATGCACACAGACAACTTGCGCTAAAATAAAAAAAGGCAAAATTTTATATTTCATGTTGTTTCTTTTGATAATTTCTTGGTGCATTAATTTTCAAAGATCTTTGCTTTTCTGTCTATTTTTGCCTTGTTATAGCATTAAAACAGAGGTGACAGCTGCCATTATGGACTTGCCAGGAACATAAATTAATGAAATAAAATTTAAAGCTGATTTTTTTTTTTTTAAGTTCCATAAAATGTTCCTGATAACAAAACAAGAAAGAAACAGAGCCAGGATAGAAAAGACAAAACGAAATGAAACAAAGAAAAGGGAACATCTAAAGAAAAATTAAAACAAGATGCAAAGCGCATTCATTTGCCAAAAAGCCTTTCATCAGGACACATTATCGCAGACAGTGACTCATTCACCTCCCACTTCAAAAAATTAATTCAAAGCTAGTTTTTAACTCTACTAAACAATCTTGAGCCACACCAAAATATTAAAAGAGTTGAAAAAAGAGCAACTTTAGAGTATTTTATCTCCCTTCGTGACAACAGCTTGAGCAAAGAAACTCTGAAGTATTTTAAGATCTTGTACAAATCCTGTACAACTGAACTCTGCCATAATTCCCACATAATATTAAACAATCACAATTGAGACCAATGATTTAAAACGAATAAATACTTTTCACTTTTTCAACTTGAATACACACAAAATAAACGAAATACCTCTATCAAGAGATGTATTATGAACTTAACTAAAATAAGATTATAAATTACTCTTCACTGCATCTTCACCAGTTGGCTACTTTTTTTAACCTCAAACTTACTCCACAGACTTTTAACAGTTCAAACAGTCAGTCACAATTTTCCTTACTCAGCGTGCCTGTACAAAATAGTTCTGATTATATATTGTCAACCTCTGCTGAGTCGAATGAATGCCACGAGAGCAATTTAAACTAGTAAACAGTTGCAACTGACAACTGTCCTATTGATTAGCAGAAAGCATCTGGGACACCGAATTGCAACCAGGCTATTCTAAGCTCTCCATTGAAGAGAAAAGTGTATAATAAATTCATGGTAGTTGGATGCCTTTTCACTCTCCTAAATTTTATGCAGTGAAGCTAGCCTACAGTTTATCAAAAATGATTTATATAATGATCATGTCATGTCTGTCTAAAGATTTTAAAATTCCCCATTTCCAGGTCATTTTTTACAGAAGAAACAACAATTGTCTCCCGCAATATAACTGGTCTAGAGAGGTCCTTGCCTACATTTCTAAAGATTAAACTTTGACAGAATAATCAACAATGACAGTCAAAGCTGCAGGTCAAAACTTAGAGATACTAAAAACCAAAAAAACATTTTTCCTCATCACTGTACTGTCTGTACCCAGACATTTTGACAGATGATAATGTAGGCCTTTTAGTAAAAATTAAACTCTTGTTTTTCTTTTGCCTCAGCTCACTGGAATAAAAAACATTAAAATGTTTTTACTTTCTATCATAATCATGCACCAAATATTTAGGAACATTTGGATCTTTTTCATACAAAGCCATATATATACATAGTCTCTATCTCACAGTACTCCCCATATCATAGTGACACTTTATTTACGTTTCATGAAACAGAAAGAATTTAATTTTTGGGGAGAAAAAAGTGACTTCCAGTTCATAATTTCATAAGAAGACATTCTTTTACTTAATCTATCATATATCAATTAATACTAGATCTATTTCAATTTCAATTTTTTTTAAAAGCCAATTTGCTGTTGGCGTGGACCAGCCTTAACAAGAATATGTCCATTTTCCCATCACTCTCTCTACTTAGAACTTCAGGCCCAAAATCTTCAGACTCATCACTAGATCTAGATCTACCAATATTTTAATAAAATAGGGGCCTACCCAAAAGAGAGCAAACTATTTTCTGATTTCAAAAGTAGCAAACACAGGTTCAGTGAAAACATCAGCAAACACCACCCTCAGGAAAGACAGCAATTAATCTGAATAATATTTTTTAAAAACAAAAAAAATATCAGGACTAGATCTATATAGGCTTAGGTCTAGATATCTAGATCTAGATCTAGATTCTAGATATAGATCTATGTACACATTTACTGATCTACTGTAATCACAATGTTGAACAAACTTTTTATAAGTTTCAAAGCTTTTGTAGGCCTAACAAACTTTAATGTCCTTCACTTCAGTTTCAGTGTTGGCTACATAGATGGGCTATTTATGGATTTTATGCTACACTTATTTTTTCTGTAAATACAAGACAATACGTAGATTAGCTAGAATCTAGAATCTAGAATCTAGATCTAGACTCTATAATCTATATTATAATAATAACAACTCATTCGGATCTGGCCAGACCTTTGTTATAATACTTTGTAGGGACGAAATGAAAAATAGGGAACTTGAAAGAGTGGGCAACACCCAGGCAGAGGCGATGATAGTTTTATTGACAGAAAGGAGCAGGGCTGCCTTGGAAGAAAATTGCTTTTACGTCTGTCTTTGAAGCAGTTATTTACACTAGTCTACCGATATCAGCAGAGCTAATGAAAGGCGTCTAGGCCACTCCAAACAATTTGTGTCCAAGCCTAAGGGCAAACATTCTCTCTCCCCAGTCTGCTGTAGCGGTAATAACAGTCGATAAAAACTGGGTCAGGCTACTATTCTGAACTATTCACCGAAGAATAGAGTCAGAGCAGCGGTCTCCCTCCTTTCACTGAGTGTGCTGTACTCAAACCATAAACGAAGAGACGAACATAGCGTGTTAAGCTATACAAACAACACAAGTAGAAGCGGTTAACTCACTCTCGTGAAAAGGTTGTGTTTTCTCCTGTTGTGAAAGGCAACAAGATGAAAAACTGCGACTTTCTTCGAGAACACAGCGCGAGAGAGCCAGAACCACTCACCGTTATTATGATGGCTACTTCTTCGACCAGGAATGAATCATTGGCAGGCGAGAAAAAACTCTTCTCACTGCCAATACACTGACACTTAATCAATCATTTACGCACTTAGTCAGACACTGACACATCATACTAACCGTGTTTGCTTTGAAATTTTCCCATACTAGAAAAGTTTTAGTCCATCTTGCGCCGAGACATCAGCAGGGACGACTGACTGCCAGTGCCACCCATAGTAAACAAGTCCCGCCGCACACACACAGACACACACACACACGGGACGAATGCGAGAAGAAACGGCCCAGCGAGCGGGGTAACGAACGGGCACAATACGGAAGGGGAAACGGGATTAAACTGTTTATCCCCACCGAGCAGTTAGCCGAACACGAGCGCTTGTAGTTGTAGAGAGAGAGAGAGCGGTGTGTGTGTGCTTCCTCGCATCCCTCTGACGAAATAAGGGGCGGAGCAAAGGACGAGCGCAAGAAGTGGCGAGGGCAGAAACTGAACGACAGAGGAATAATGATGACATTCGTTTTCGTAGTGAGAATAAAAACTTTTGGAGAAATTAGCCGCAAATATGTTTGCAACAGGGGGAAAAAGTTTTTGAAGCCGACGCGCAGTTTGAAGTAATTGGAGGCAAGGAAATTGGGAAATAGAGATCGGTGTTTTTTAGACAAATCGTCAAGGTGAGCACGAGGTTTTACCCCCGGTTTGAGCAGTGGTTAAAAAAAAGGGAAAGAAAAAAAAGAAGAAAAGAAAACGAGTAGAGTATCCTGGCATGTTTTCGTCAAGCCTTCACGTTTTCTCTTTTAGTTTCTTGTACGCCGCCTCATATCATCGATAGTTCCGACAGGAGGGTTTTGTTTCCCCTTTCATTTTTTTTTTTAAACTGCAGGTCCTATGTTTGTTGTTTGTTGGGGGTTTTTTTTGGTTTTGTTTTGGGGTTGAGGTTTTTTAGGG